TAATAAGCAGGTTAGCAAAACACAAAAAGGAGGGCATCTTGCTATTTCCCAAGGGAAAAAACCCCCAGGAAACAAATAATGAATTAAATGGAAACTATACACTGACTGAGCTTTGAGCACAGATTATGTGGATAAGATATAAATGAAGCTGCACCTGAGGCAGCATAGTATAGTGGAAAGAACATGGATATCCATTTGACTATGGCCAAGTAACTTCATTGGGCTTCAGTTTCCTTATCTGTAAAACAAGGATTACAACAGCTGAACTACCAACTTCTCAGAGTTGTGAAAGCATTTTTTAACTCAAAGTATCTCATATTTTATTATCATCATTGGTTATTATTTTTAGCTCAGGGAGGCAGCTGTGGTGTGGAATAAAAAGGCCACTGGATTTAGAATCAGAAGATCTGAGTCTGAATTTTGCCTCTGTTTTTTTTACCATCTAGGTCAGTATCATTTATTAAAAGGCTATCTAAGCAAACTGAACACTGCAACTTCTTGCATTTAATTTTTCTATTTATCCATTTGAATGTAGGATTGATTCAAACACTGAACTGAAACAGGTATGAAGGGGAACCAATAGAGCCCATGACTTTTAAATACTGAACAGAGTTTATACAACCTCACATGAAAAACAATATGATAGGCTGATACGCATAAACACTGAGGACTATTGCCTTATTACCAAAGTAAATTTACATCACAGAGGTAACAACCAAGAAGGAAATGACATGTGTGATCAACAACCAAGAAGGAAATGACGTGTGTGCCAGTGCGTGTGTGATGGGGCTAAAGGTGAGAACAGTTTCGGCTACATTACTGTCCTTAGGAAAATTTTCTTAGGAAAACACAATGAAAGATACTGAAATAAACTACATTCTAATAAAAATTATTTTTGTAATATATTTTTATTGATAACATTGTCACTTTCAAAACAACTTCCCCTCTATCTTTTCATTAAAATGGTTAAGCAAAATCAACTAATGGAATGATTTTGACTGATTACACCTTACTTTCCATTTTCCTAGTTTACTGTTTGGCAGAACCAATGTGTTTTAAAGAAATTTTTTTTTAATAATGTAGAACCAACATTGTCCAATTTTCTTTCCCTGAGTTTTGTTGGCTTCATTCACATTGTTGTAGTCATTACATATTTTCTCTTGGTTCTGCTTTCTTTGTTTCTCATCAGTTCACATGTTTTCCCTTTCTTTCATGAATTTTTCATAAATATGGCATTATGATATCATATAACATAGTATGTTCAGTCATTCCCCAATTGCTAGACAGTTTGTTTCCAGCTTTTTTACCATATAACAGCAAATATTCTACTTGCATCTTCAGCAAGAGATGGGTAATCCAACATATCTAAAAATCTTAAGTTATTTTAGTTAAAATCCAAGAGGACAACTGGCAAATTGAAATATAATTTCCATACTAAATGTTTCTGAAAATCATAACATTTTAATTAATTTTGATCTGAGCTTTCTATTACTGACTGTTCCAAAGTAAAAGCTGGAAATACATCTTAAGGACTTAATATTTTTCTGCCTTGATCAAAAAGCAGAATAGGGGCTTTTAACTCAAAGTAGTTATAGCACATTTGAAATTTCTGATTTTCCCCTCTCCTGTTTTGAGGCTTGGCAAATAAAATAAAATTTAAGATACACAGTAAAAATTTCCTGACAGAAGGAATTCTTTCAAGGACCAACTGTTCAAGCAAAAAACAAAAACAAAAAACGTTATTCAACAAATAAATACTTTACTTTAAAAGGTGAACAGAAGCAAAGATTAAAAACACACATTATCATTATTATTATTTTTTCTTTTTGAGAGGCAATTGGGGTTAAGTGACTTACGCAGAGTCACGCAGCTAGTAAGTGTTATGTGTCTGAGACCGGACTTGAACTCAGGTCCTTCTGACTCCACGGCCAGTGCTCTGCACTGCACCATCAGCTGCCCCCAAACCACACATTATCAAAAGAAGAGGCATACTTCTTATGAATACTCTGTATTTTGCTGTTATCTGTTGTCAGTGTTAAAATTTCTACTATTTAAATTTCTTTTGGGGCACTTTTTTGCATTGCTCTAGCCATTCAGGACCCCTTTCTCCTAAAGGTCACGTTTAAGTTACTCCTCCCATTGTTATCACCATAGCAGGATGCTGCTGGCTGAAGTGTTAAATCCACAAAGCCAATATCTCAAAGAAAAATTGGAGTCTCACGGAAATTACTGTATTTGAAAATGCATCTAGGCCCAAGGGCCACGGTGGTTCCATTAGTCTTCGTGGCTCTCTATCTTAGCTCATCGTGGGTTTTTGCCTCTCAAGTCAGAGAACTGTAGACAGCAGAGAACCTGAAGACTGATCCAGCTCCTATTTAACTTTAACTCTACCCAGTCAGGATGTAGACTAAGACCATTTCACTGAAATGCATGGAAAGAACAAACTGCAGGTCAAAATACTGAAAACAAATTACATATCTGATAACTGGGGAATGGCTGAATAAATTAAGGTATCTTACCAAAATAAGACATTAAGGCATCATGAAAATGATAATTATGATGCACGGAAATAAAGACTTACACATGAGGTAATGAAAGTGAGAGATATAGAACCAGAATGGCAAATATAGGTTGCAACCTTATTGTTTAACAACAAAACAAAAACGTAACTAAGACTCACACGCTGCAAATATATACCTTATTTGATTCTACTTTGTTAAAATGTACAGCATAATATGCTTATGGTTTTATGAATGAGTCTGTTCTTTATTTTATAAAGGAATAGAGATGGGTGAAATATCACTTACATACTGTTATGACTAGACTATCTACTGTACCATTCTGTACCGTACTGTATCGTTCATCTCCAAAAATTCTAACTTGGAACTCCAAATAATTTTACAGAATTATTAGTCAGCCAACAAGTATTTAACTGTTTACTATGTACCAAGCATTTGGTAAGTGCTGGGATACAAAAAAAGGCAAAAGTAGTTCCTGGCCTCAAGCAGCTCATAATCTGCAGGGAAAGATAATACGTAAATAACCAGTACATTCAACATACAGACAGAGTAGAAGGAAGGTAATCTCAGAAGGGAAGGCTTCAGCAGTTGCAGGGACCTGAAAAGGTTCCAGCAGAAGGTGGGATTTGAGCTTGGTCCTGAAGGAAGGAAGAAAAACTAAGAAGTGGAGATGAGGTGAGAGAGCATGCTAGACACACGGGACAACCATGCAGAAGTCAGGGAAATAGGAGATGGAATGTCATATCTGAGGAACAATAAGAAGGTCTGTGGCTCTGGATCACAGAACATGTAGAATTAAGGATAAGTGGGAATAAGTTGAAGAAGACGGGAAAGGTATAAGGATCAGGTTATGATGAGTACTAAATGCTAAACAGATGATTTAATATTTGATTCTGAGGGTAATAGGGAGCCAGTGAAGTTTCTTAAGTAGTGGAGTTACATGGTCAGACCGGCACTTTGGGAAGATCATTGCAGGGAAACCATTAGAAGAATATCGCAATCTGGTCAGGGAAAAGGTGACGAGGTCCTTAACTGGGATGGTAGCTGTGTGAGTGGAGAGATGTCACAGGGAAAGAAATGATGAGGTTTGGCAATAGAACGGGACATGTGGGATAAGCAAGAATAAGGAGTCAAAGGTGACACTGAGATTTCAAATCTGGGTGACTAGAGTAGATGGCACACCTCTGAGAGTGACAGGCAAGTTCAAAAGAGGAAAGGATTTCAGGGGAAAGATAGTGAATTCTGTTTTGGACATGTTGAGTTTGAGTTGTGAATGGCATATTTAGTTTGAGACATCAAAAAAGTGATGAGATTGAACTCAGGAAAGAGACTGGGTCTTGGGATACAGATCTGGGAATCATCTGCACAGAGATCACTGAATCCATGTAAGTTGAGATCATCAAGTGAGACACTATAGAGGAAAAAGAGGGCCCAGGATAAAACTGTGGGGGGTACTCCATTTAGTGGACATGATCTGGATAAGTATCCAAAGAGAAACTGAAAAGGAGCAGTCAGAAAAGGAGAGCATGGTCATAAAAACACAGAGAGAAGAAAGTATGCAGGAGAAAAAGATGACTGACAGTGTCAAAGGCTGCAGAGAAGTCAAGAAGGATGAGGACTAAGAAAGGCCAATAGATCTGTCAGATAACAGATCACTGGTAATTTTGGAGAGAAGTTTCGGTTGAATGATGAGGTCAGAGGCAATATTGCAAAAGGTTTAGAACTGAGTGAGTAGAAAGGAAGTGGAGGTAGCTAGCATAGATTATTTTCTCAAGTAGGTTAGCCAAGAAAGGGAGGCAAGATATAGGACAACGGCTATCAGGGATGCTAGTAACAGGTTTAATAAAGAGAGACACGGTCTTGTTTGTAGGGGGTGGGGAAGGAGTCACTAGACAGGAAGAGATTGAAGATTAGAGAAAGACTAGAGATGAGAGTGAGGATGACAATTTGCTGGAAAAGATGGAAAGGGATAAAATTTCTGTATAAAATACAAATGAAAAGACTAATTATTCATAACTAACAACAATATTAAAGATGTTACTTCAGAATACAGATAGATGTTGGGTTTAGACAAGAAGTAATTGCTAGATTCTAGCAATTCTAGCAAACTAGTTCTCCACTTTTTCAGGTTTCAGTATACTGATATCAGCAAACATTTTTTAATAACAAACATACAACCTGATCATCCTGAAAAGGGAGCCTGGATTATATTTTATAAGCCAGGTACTACAGTTCTATGCTGTTTCATAACTTAGTAAGATATAGATATGTGTATATACATATATATGTGTATGTGTACATATATATATGTACACACACACACACACACACACACACACACACACACACACACACACACACAGAGTTTCAGAAATAACTGACTGAGCCCAAAGAGCCCAAAGTGAACAACTTCTGATAGTAACAAACTTGATGGCTATGTATGCATGTCTACTGCAGAAGAGAAGTGAAATCCATACTTACTGATCCCTTTTCCATCACTCTGTTAAGCATGACAACTCCCCGGCTTTTCTGTTCCCAAACCATCTCCCAAAAGTGACCACATGTGTTAGGCAGAGGGCCCTGTGTAAAGATACAGACTTGAAAATTTAATTTCATCTTTGAAAATTAGTAACTTTTTAAAAAATAAGACATTTTTCTCAATGATTTCAACATAGCACTATCAGGAGACAGAGAGATGAATTTGCTCTTTCAAAGCCCAGAATTCAATATCTATAATTTCATTTCTAATTTTAGTAATATAGAGAAAACACTACTGTTTGGAAATACTAGCTGATACTGAGTGTGCTCAACAGGACCATTCCTAAGGGTGTATAGGGACTGGGACATTGTAGGGTTGGTTGCATTCTTGGTATTTTTACACAGATGAAATGTTACAAAAATAGATAATCTTGATCAGTGAAACCAAGCCTATATTTAAGGCCCTCATAAACCACCAGTGTTTATTAATTATCTACTACGTGCCAGGTACTGATGATGATAATAACAGCTTGCATTTACACACTACTTACTATGTGCCAGGCACACAGCCCTCTACAAATATTATCTCATTTGATTCTTACAACAGTACGGGGAGGTAGGTGTTATTATTATCCCCATTTTACAGTTGAGGAAACTGAGGCAAACAGGTTAGAGTGAACTGTCCAGCTAGGAAGAAGTGTCTGTGGCTGGATTTGAACTCAGGTCTTCTTGACTTCAGGCCTATCCATTATACTACCTAGCTGCCTCACTGAGGATTACATTGAGGATACAAATATAAAATGGCAGTAGATGTGTTGCAGAGAAAAAACCAGTCTGAAAAGGAAATCACAAAAGGGTAATATGGAACCTTTTACCATATTAAAAGGGGTGAAAGTAGATTTTAGGATAGCAGGGAAAGGGGAGAAGAGAGAGTTATTGTCCATAAGCAGCTAATCTCACCCCAATTGCTCTGGTGATGACAGACAAACAGGAAGGGTGAGTTATAAGCTTCATGCCCTTTTTTTAGTGCCAGCTGGTAACACTAGCTCCTTCTTTACTGGCTACCACAAGTAGCTATGCAATTACAGCCAAGTGGTCTCTATAGCAGTACAGGACCCCTGCAAAGCATAGGGCTGAGGTAATCACCACAATTTTCTGTACTGTGAGACTTGGCTTTGGGCCCAAGATAGCATATATGTAGACTAACATAGGCTCCAGACAGGCTCCAACCCATTAAGAGAAGTTTATTATAATATAATAGGACCTTGTGTCCAAAACCCATTTTTTCCTACCTATTTTCCTTCTTAAGTTCTCCAATCTGATGTCTATGTCCTTATTATTCTACTGAAGTTCCTTTCCTGAATATTAATGACCTCTTTATTGCCAAATTGAATTGCATTTTCTCGTTTTTCATTCTCCTGGAGTTTTGTCTTGCATTTGACACTGTTGACCAGCAAATGCTTAAAACTCTTTTCCCTGGGCTTCACAACAGTATACTATCCTGTTTCCTCTTTTCTCTGACTGCTCATTTCTTCTGCTTGTTCCTTCGTTGTGGGTGTTCCCTAAAGGTCAGTTTTCAGAAATGGCATCTATTTTCTATCCTAAGGATTCTAAGGCCAAGTGTACTTAAGACTTAAGAGATCAGTGGAGTGAAATTAGAATGCAAGAGGTTGATAAGCGAATAGGCAATAAGAAAAATGGAGGCAGTAAGTTCAGGCAATTCTTTCTAGGAGTTCAGCAATGAAAGGGAAGAGAGCTATAGGAAAACTGCTTGAGGGAGCAGTTGGCATGTTTCAAATCCAATAATGAGTCAGTAAATAAGCAGTTCTCAAGGGACGAGGATGGGATCAAAGGCACAAGTAGAAAGGCTATTAGCCCTAACAAAGAAAGAGCCACTTCTCTTTCAGAGACTAAGGCAAAAAAGAGAAGAGTAAAGATGTAGTGTATTGTAAGGTGGGGATATGAGGCAGTGTTATCTACTGAGAGACAGCTAAGTGTGGGTGGTACTAGGAGCCTGAAGACAGAGATTTCAAATAGCTGCTAGAAACATGTGATAGCTTGTCAATCAAGGAAGAAAAAAAGGACTACAATGCAACAATGAGGGCCCAGATGAAATGAGAACATTATATCACACTGGACCCAGCTGTGTTCAATTATATGCATATATTTGTGTGACCTCAAGTGGCATTCAGCAGCACAGGCATAGAAATGATGAAGGGAGATGGTGGTCATAGTCCAGGGATAAGAAATGACAGAGATGAAGTAGGCAGGACAAAGGAGCAAGGGATTCAAAGATGAACGTGCATAGTTGAACTAGTTAGCAATTATCAGTTCAAGCAAGACTTTTGAAGGAAAGAGAATGAGACCAGAACACAGAGGAATGGAGGAACTAAAGGTTATGATGGGGATAAAAAACAGGTTAAGATGAGTGAAGCAGGAGATGGTAGAAAAGATTTGATCAAAGAGGGGAATTTCAGGTTGCAGGAAGTGGTACAGTTTGAATAGTGATGAAATCTAAGGTATATGTGGAGTGAAAATGCTTGTCACAGAAACTGGAGGTTGAGTTAACTAAGAATCTAGGGGTATTGAGAGAATATCAAGGTGAATTTTGAAATCCTCAAGTGTGCGATCAGGGGTTAGTGGGTAATAATAATGGTGATAATGATAGTTAGCATTTACACAGTGCTTTAAAGTTTGCAAAGCTCTACACACGTTATCTCATTTGGTATAGGACTAGTGAGCCAAGTACTGATCTCTGTGAGAGAGGGAGAATAACCTGGAAGCCAGCATATTATAGCAATAAAAGATCTGGATAGAATGATATAAATTGATGGAGTGAATCTGAAAGGAAAGGAGGAGAAGACTACAAAGAGATGCTGGCAAAGGGAAGATACAGCCCAGGTCTCTAGGGACATAAGAGAGGAGGAATCAACACTAGAGCTAGTGGCCAGGTGTCAGTCATCTTCTAGACAGAAAGTCCAGTTTGCATGAGGGCAAGTAGAGGGAAACTGTTTAAGAAGGTTAGATAAATTTTAGTTGGTGTGCCTTTCATATGTGGACTAGGTGGCCACTGAAATTCTTTCCAATTCTCAAGTTCTGTGAAGTTCTATGAAGGTATCTAGGAAGAAGGAAAATTTGTTAACAAAGAGGAGGAATTCTAGTGGAAGGAGAGGACAGAAGAGGAAAATTCAAATAACTACAATACAAGGGAGAGTTGGGTAAGTATCCAAGAGTGAGAAAAGGTCCACGTAAAGTGTTAGGAGAAATATTACCACAGTTATCTTTACAGTAAGGCTACACAGAAAGTAAAAGGAAGCCCTCTATTTGGAAGGGACTAATTCATGAAGGTACTATCATACATAAGCATTATTAATAAATATGTATTAATTGCCTACTGGACAAGCAGAGTTTTGTGCTAGATAATTAAGAAGATACAGAGTTGAGGCATAATTCCTATCCCATGGAACTTAGTAAGCGAAAAAGCTCCACAAGAGATGCTTATAATACATAATATTACATGTTAAATGGATTGGAAGGACATAAAATAAAGTGCCATATATAGTTGAAGGGATATGGTTATTGTCAGCTGGGTCAAAGGGTGGACAGAAAGGATGGAGAAAAAATTCACCTAGAGTAAATGGTATTTGAATTGGGTTTTTAAAAAATGGGCAGGTGTTCAAGAATTAAGGTGGGGAAGGAGGACATTCTGTGCACAGGGAAGTGCATAGGCAAAGGAGGCATGACAGAACATATTTGGAGGAAGAGGGAGAGAACGAACACATGAAATACTACTAAAGAAAGTCTGGATCCACTAAAAATGTATGCCATCTAACATCACCTGGGCCTGTCTCTTATTTTCCATAGAAGATTGAAACAATCCAGAATGATCTTCCTCAATTTTCCACTCTACTCCTTTAAAAATCTCAATACCTTCATTCATTCTCTTCTACTTTTCTCTGCTTTCAGAGGAAATGGAAGCTCCCTTTACCAAAGCTAGCTCTTGTATCTATACTTCATCCCATCCCATCAATCACCAATTTTTTTCTCTCATGCACTATCTATTGCTTTCTCTCAACTGGCTCCTTTCCTGCAATCTACAAACATGTTCGGTCTCTCTTATCCTACAAAAACATTCCCTTAGCCCTATTTCCTCAATGGATAGGCCCACATTTTCAATACTTTCTCAAAACCCACTTACTTTTCACCTCCCCGCAACGTGATTTCCATCCCCATGCTAATAAAACAACTCTCTTCATGATTATTAATGACTTTCTTCCCATTAAATTGAACAGACTTCTCTGTAGTGACCTTTCTCAACTTGTCTGTTCACCATGTGAAATTTGGCCACTGAGCTCCCTCCTGATACCATTTTCCCTTAGCTTTTGTGTTAAAAAGCACTTTCATGACTCCTTTAACTTGTATGGCCATTGCCACCTGTTTTCTTTGTTACTTCTTCCTCTTTAACATGGGTGAACCAAGGCTCTGATTTTGGTTTTCCTTTTTTTCTTAACACTCTTTCCTGGCCATCTTACTCCTATGGTTTCAATTATTACAGATGACCTCTAAATCTATCTACTTTCAAACTGTCCTTAGAACTGCAGTTCTAAACTTCAGCTGAGGTAAAGGTGGTCCGAGTTACAGAGCACACAGCACTTTACGTAGGTCTTGAAGGAAGGAATATGCTTTTGGATCTCTCTACCAAGATGTCTCATTGGTAGGTCAAATTCAACATAGCTAAAACTGAATTTACTGCCTCCTTCCCCACTTTGAACTTTGTGTTAATTGTACCACCTTGCCACCCAGGCTCATAATCTCAAAATCCCCAGTAGGATGTGGGAGCATGAGAAAGAGAAAACAGTCTATTAGCTGCAAAATCCTGTTAAGCATTCTTCCACTATATCTCATACTCATCCCGTTCCTTCCATTCCCACTAGTCCTCAACCCACTATTTATAACTGTTTCCTAATGGGTTTTCCTACCATCTATCCAATCTCTTGAATCCATCCTTTACATTGTTGTTTAAATAATCTTCCTTTAAGTTTTAGTAGCTTAAAACTGCACTAAGACTTTTGGGACATCCTATATATGACATTTTTCCTCTTTAAAAATGTGAGCTCTCACACATGACACTTACTAGCTGTGTGACCCTGGGCAAGTCACTTAACCCTGATTGCCTCATCAAAAAAAGCAAAAAAAAAAAAAAAAAGAATGTGAGCTCTCAGACAATGGAATCTGAAGTATGTACCTTTTTAAAAATAATTGTTTGATGAGACTGCTAAATTAAATCAAGAACTACAGAATGAAAAATGTAATATAGTTAAAAGGACAAAAATTTCAGAGCCTATAGCAACTTTACATGAGAATAAAACAAAGGGAGAAAGAATGGTGTATTACAAAGAATGCTGGACTATGTTAGGAGACCAAAACTCTAATCCAGTTCCACTATTAACTTTGTGACTTTAACCAAATCATTTTCCTTTTCTAGGTCTCAGTTAATTCTTCCACAAAGTTTGTTTTACTTCTTCTTTCTTGTGGTTCCTCCCATTAGTTCTAATTCTGCTATACATCATGACTAATGTAAAAATATACTTAATATGAATGTATAAGTAGATCCTATACCAGACTGCATGCTGTGCTGGAGAGGGGGAGCGAAAGCGGGAGAAAATTTAAAACTCAAAATCTTATGAAGTGAATGCTGAAAACTAAAAATAAATCAATTAATTATTTAAAAAAAAAGGAAAAAAAAAACTCTTCTACAAAATTACAAGGTTGTATTAAGCTTTATAATCAAATTTCTTGTCTTAGTTATCACTTAATACCAACTATGTGTATAGTAAAATTTCACTCAGTTTCATGGGTTGTTGTCTTTCATCTTCAAAGAGGACCAAAATGATATCACTATGTTGGGGTCAAGGTAGAGTGTGTTTGATTGTCGCTAATCAGACAAATACGAGCTTAGAAGGCTCTACCACAAGCAGGGCACAAATAGTCCATGTGAACATTTAGAGTGGAGATCTCTCTAAATTTGTGCATCTCACATTTCCTTCGAGCTACTGCAATTCTGCTTTGCTCAATTCAATACTCTCTTGCATAAAGAGGTACTGATTTTCCAGGAAATTAATTATTTTTAATAAATGTCTAAAAAATCCAAACTGAAGTGAAACTTAAAGTGAGTTCCATTCAGGAAAAAAAAAAACCTTATTAATGATATTCTCATTAACATCATTTAAAAATTTTTAACAAAAATCTATTATGCACTTACTATGTGCAAGATACTGTGCTAACTGATTTACAAATATCTCATTTTCTCTTTGCAATAACCCTGGCAGGTAGGTGCAGTATACCTCCGTTTTATAGCTGAGGAAGTTGAGTCAGATAGAGGTTAAGTGACTTGCCCAGGGTCACACAGCTAGTAAATGTCTGAGGCTAAATTTGAACTCAAAAGAGGTTTTTCTGACTCAAAATCCTGGGCTCTAACCTGTGTCACCTGGACGCCCATATGCATCATGGAGAATGTATTCCAATACTAAGAATCATGGTACAGAAGAGCTAGAAGTAACCTTAGGAATCACTTAGTTCAATTCCATAATTTTACTGAAGATGAAATTCAGGCCCAGAATGGTTAAAAAAAACCAAGGGAGGTAAAAAAAGAAAAAACAAAAACCCTAAACAAATGGCCAATTTTTTTTTCTACTATGTTTTCATTTATTACCTGAGTGAGAATATAGCTTCTTTGGGCCTCTTCCATTTTAATCAAACTAGCATTTATATAATCATTATCTTCGTGGTGTAGCTTAATTCGACTATGGTCAACTGTAAAGCAATCAGAACACAGTAAAGTTAAGTCAAGAAGAGTTAGAATACATAAATAGCATGCGTGTATATAAAATACTTCACTAAACATTTATTAGATACCTACTAAGCAGAGTACCTGGAGACAGAATGGTGTAGGGGAAAGGTCCTAGATTTGGAATCAAAGGCCTTGGGTTCAAATGCTGGTTTTGTCACTTACTCTTTACACTGTAGGAATCAGCAGTCTTTGTCAGATAGTGAGTTCTTGTTCTAAAAGCTTAGATCTTTGCATTTATCAAACACTAGATTACTATGGTGTTTTACTATTGTGTATTGTGTACCTCATCTATTCCACTGATCCACCACTCTATTTCTTAGTCAGTACCAGATTGTTCTGATGATTATTATTTTGTGACAGTTTGAGAGCTGGTACAGCTAATCTACCTTCCTTCACATTTTTTTCACTGATTCCCTTGATATTCTTGACCTTTTGTTCTTCCAGATAAAATGTCATTTTTTCTAGCTCTATAAATAATTTTTTGGTAGTTTGGTATTTATAATTGTCATTTTTATTATATTGGCTATCCATGAGCAATTAATATTTTTCCAATTGTTTTTATCTGACTTTACTTGTGTTAAAAGTGCTTTGCAATTGTGTTCATATAGTTCCTGGGTTTGTCTTAGCAGGCAGACTCCCAAGTATTTTATACTGTCTGCAGTTATTTCAAGTGGAATTTCTCTTTCTATCTTTGCTGCTGCGTTTTGTGGGTAATATGTAGAAACACTGACGACTTACGTGAGTTTATTTTATATTCTGCAACTCTGCTAAAGTTAATTGTTTTATCTAGTTTTTCAACTGATTCTCTGACACTTGGGTTCTTGAAGGTTATGCCTATGAAGTACAGGCTGTCACAAGTCTTACCAAATGGTCAAGTAACTATGTCTTTTGCTTTAGTTAAGTTCTGAAAGACTTAATGATCTTATAGACTAACCCTGTGGAAACAGTACACACAAAGAAAAAAAAATTCACTGAGTTATTAAAATTAATTAAGTTGCATTGGACAAATTATCTGTTGGCAGCAAAAATGGATTGGCATATGAATAAATTTTTTCAAAAAGAAATCTTGGTACCTGTTAATTCTAATACTTCCTCCCTCTCTGTTCCCATACTGAGGATAAAACAGCAACAACAGAACTAAAATTGGTAAGGTAATAGATATGCTATATGAAATTTTCATTAAATTGATAATAAAGTTTTATTTAAGGATTTAAGGGAGCAACCTTCAGTTGTCTTCAATATTTACTTATGTGGATTAAGTTACTCCCCAACTAGAAATGAGCTACTACTCAACAACTTATCTCTAAAGCTGCTACTATAGGCAAACAAACATAAGGCAATCACTAGTTCAGTGAGTAGAGCACTGAACCCAAGTTCAGGAAGACCCGACTTCAAATTCAGCTTTAGACACTCACTAGCTTGGTGACCCTGAGCAAGTCACTTAACCTTTCTAACACTCAATTTTTTCATCTGTAAATTGGGAATAAAAATAGCACCTATCTTCCAGGGTTGCCGTGAGGATAAAATGAGATAACATTCATAAAGTGCTCTGCAACCTTAAAGCACTATATAAATATTAGCTATTCTTATGTTGCTGTTATCATATAAAAAAATGAATGTTAATAGATAAATATGAAGTGGATACCTACAATGTTTGATACCTTATCTAGCCAATATTTATAGAGAAAAAACTAAAAAAAGTGAGACAAATAACTAAGATATGAATACTTACAGGGACTGACATCTCTGTACCTGTTTCGATTTTTGTTTTTGGGAAGTTTGGCCACTTTACAGGGAAAGTCACTGGCTTCGTGTCTAATATCCTACAAAAAAGAACAAATAATAGTGTTTGAAATCTCTGGCATTACATGAGTTTTACATACACACACAGAGCATACTAAATAATTAAAAAATGTTGCAATAAATTATAATTAAATTGGTTCATCTATTTGAAGATCCTAGTTTTCTAGCTCAAGATAGCAGTTACTAATTGGTACCCTCCCTACTGGGTATAGGGATGATACTGTGATTCACTGGTACAAGGAACTACCAGGTGATGAAAGTCTCTCTATCCATGTAGGTCAGCACCTTATCTGCAACTTAGAAACCTTAGAGTTGCCTGGAGCACAGAGAAGTTGTTCAGGACCACATGGCCAGTATGTGACAAAGTAAGGACTTAAAACAACATCTTCCTGGCGTGAAGACCAGCTATTTATCCACTATGCCATTCTTCACAAGGTGTACACAAGAAAACCTCAACAACTGACACTCCCTCTAAATAGATGGTAAACAGGTCCCTATGTGCTGAATTGTTACGTGAAAAGAAGACCTTTATGGATTAATAAAAGTGTTGAAGAATCTTTGTAAAGAATTGTCGGTACAAACATAGTCATTTTGCCTATGCTGCTTGTTACTTATTCTACTTTAGCATAAAAATATAAGATACTGAGGAAAAATGTTTTCTGGATGCTTATGATGAATCATTCCAAAGACAATTTAATAACTTAAAAACAAGGTGATGAATTACAAAGGTGTATAATAACAAAAAATTAGCATAATGATGTTATATAGTATATATATCATTTACGTGAGGGACTATACAAGAATCCAAAAAGGAAAGAGCTAGAAAGAATAGAAATTTAAATCTTAAAAACCGATAATGTTAGACATAATCCTATTTGCAAAAACAACTTGTATAACAAAAGTCATCTCTGATACTAACGTGATAAGCACAGAGACTAACAGTAATGGCTGGCAGGATGGTGGCCATATTTGCTCTCAGCGAGAGCATATTTCTTCATACTAAGAGAGAGATTACTAGTGTAGCTAAGCGATTAGAATGACCGTTTGCTAATCAAGACCTAAATTCAATTAAATTCAACAAACTACATGTAAAGCATTGTATAAAGTGCTACAGATAAAAGACAGACATGAAAGAACCTCTTTTCAAGGAACTGAAAATCTAACAAATGTAAAGACAGGTACGCAAATAACCAGAAAAGAAGGGAGAGTGATAAGAGCAAAGGAAAAATCTAGGTAGTGCTATGAGAAAAAGTGGAAATGATCTGTAATAAAGCCAATATTGTGTTCTGTGAAATGGTGGTCACAATTTTAAAGAAAAAAGCATAATGACCATAATGTCGTCTTATGCAATAACAGGCACTTAATATATGTTTACAGAACTGAATTGACAGATTTAGGCAAAAATACTTTTATGTGAAGTGCATAACTGTCATTTCAGAGAATTATACAGAAAATCAGAGCTAGAAGTAACCTTCAAGGGCATCTAAAAGCAGCTGTTACAGGATCATTTAAATTTCATGAGTAATCAGAAAATAATTTTTCCACTTATATTTTTATTAATTATTAAGACTAAAGAATTTTCAGCCTGTCAACTCAGTTTACCATAAAAATATATTTAGAATGCAAGGAATTTCAAAGTCTTTATCAAATATAACAATTTCAAAATCTCATCAAATTGGTACTGTTCTACCTTTTTGCACTTTATTATAAAGGGACAAGGAAATTAAAATGTATGCTTTCTATGTACATACATACAAGAAATTTGTACATATACATACAAGGTTGCCATACTACCAATATATGCAAATATCTACTGATTCTGAGATTTTAATTTTAAAAGGTATAATGTGTCAGATTTTGAACACAGAAACAAATATTCACATGTTCACATTTCTTTTCCTGAAATTATTTCTAGAACAAAATATCTACATATGTTTGGAAGTAAAATCTAATTTTTTAAAAACTCATGCTTATTTCAAACTTAAACATCAAATAAAATGTGCATTTCCACAGGACAGAAAAAGGACACTGCACAAAATTGCAGATCTCTATTACAAACAGTTTGCTTTTCTTTTAAAATAGAATAAATCCAACCTGTAGCCCTCAAGCTGTTTGTCTGTGATTCTTTCTGACCTTCCTTCTCTTCTGTGGACTTAAAAAAAAAAAAGATGCCCCAAAGACCCTTTTCTCTTTTTGGGGGGGGGTGGGGTGGGAGTGAGAGAGACTAATTTATCCCTTTCCCATTCTATTCCTCTCCAACGGGGAAAAAAGAAAAAAACGCCCATGTAACAAAAGGGCATAGAGTCAAGCAGAACAAATGTTCACATTTGCTCTGTCTGAAAATGTACATCTCATTCTGAGTCTTGTGTATATCACTTCTCCGTTAAGAGGACAGCATGGGTGAAGTCTAATTATTCAAGTTACAAAGACCTGAACTTCATGCTGAGAATATACTGTTATTGGTCCAGGACTGAACCAAAAAAATGAAAACAAAGAAATGTCAAGGTAAAAGTTACTATCAAAAACAATTTACTTTTTTACTTCTACCACACCTCCATCTCCCTCCATTAAAAAAAAAAACCTCAAAAGTTTTAGGTTTATTAATCTGTAACTCAATACCATGTAATCTTGTAGGCAAATCTGGCACATTGAGAAATTTTAAAAAGGGGTACTCACAAATACCGAAACAAAACCAGAATTCTTACTCTTCCAGGTTTTCTTACTGTTTTTAATTTCTACTTTCTACTCTTGCTAAAGGTTTCAGATACAAATAAAAACAGGAAAAGCAAATGGTAGAACTATATGACATTCTAAATTTATATATGCTATAAAAAGACAATATATTAATGGCCCAACTTGGATCCTATCTCCTTTCTTATGTTTCCTGATCCTTCATAAATGATCTTGAACTACGCCATACTGTGCTGTTTAGACCTCCTTCTTCAATATATTTTTAACTTGCATTATAATTTTCTATATGGCCATCAATCTCTCTACTACCCTATAAACTCTTTGAGGTTGGTATTCTCAGCAGTGTATTGCATATATTATTTAATACATTTTTCTTTGAGTTTTATGACTACTTAAAATATAAAAATACTTTATAACTACTAAATGGGCAAAATGATCCCAATTGTGTCTACGTTGAATTTTTTTTTTCTTCTCTCTGAAATAGGCTGTCCACAAATTATGATTTTTGCTGAGACATAAACCTATCTGATACAAGCCTAAATAAAAATAAATGACTCATAAATGAAGCTAAATGATAGAATTTGCTGGGGAAGAAATCTTAGTGTACAAATTAGGAGGCCCAAGCAGTAGTTAATCACAATAGGGACAATTTTAAATAGTGGATTTAAAAAAATAAAGAGAAGATAACAGATGAGGTTGCAATGACTACAAAGATGATAATTCAATTAGAGAACTCTGTTGACACAAAATATAAGAGCATTGGAGTAAAATAATCCTTGTAATTTATTATCTATCATTCAAATGTACTCAAATGTAATTAAGTGATGAAGAATGCCTAACATTTCAAACTTATGATTCCCTGTCATCGCTGGTTTTTTTTGGGGGGGAGTGGTAGGGGGAAGATGTAGAAAGAACAACTGAGTCTGGTAAAATGTTCATGTCTATTACAGAGCAGCTCTAAAAATTTCTTAGTTTTAGTGTAAATCTAGTCTCTGTGTCAACACATTCTAAAATCTAGCGGAATATCTTACTGCCTGGATGGTGAGACACTTATTTGAAAGGTATCTAAACTAGCATGGAGGTAAGTACATTGCAGCTCTGACACTAAGTGACTGGCTAACAAGTCACATAATCTCTTAGGGTCTCCATCTCCTTATCTGTAAAAGTAAAAGGGCCTGAACCATATGATCTTTACAGGTCCTTCCAGTTCTAATGTTCCTGATCTTACACAAACATATATCTACTCAAATGTCATGGATGTGTTCTTGAAAGGTAGCATGTAAAACACGTTCCTCTATCAAAATTCTTTTTTCCTTAATAATTTATTACAAAATTGAGCCATATTTCTCTAGACAGTTTTGGTAACATGCAATTCACACATCTGTTACTTTCCTCCTTCCCAGTAATAAAAGCTTTTATATATCATGTCTAAAAGTAATAATACTTATTTTTGACATAAGATATTAATAGTTCTAAAGTATTTAACAAAATAGGGATTCCAAAGTAGGATTAGGGTTCTATTCATACTAAGTTTCACACTAGTTTGAAGATCAGAGGAAAAAACAAGGCAAACCAGAGAACAACTGGGTTCAGTTCCTCTCTCAGTGCTCTTCTCAACATTTTCGTAACAAGCTATTTCCTAGCTTTTATGGTACCTACTAGATCTTAGAAATAAATAGGTTAATCTAGGCCTAAGGCTCTTAAACTGGGGTCCACAGACTTCCCCTCCTCCCCTCAGGAGAGCTTGGATACAAGTTCAGGGAGTATATGAACTTGGATAGGGGGAAAAAACCCTCAAAACCCTACATCTTTATTTTCACTAACTTCAAATTGAAGTTTAGCATTTCCTTCCATTATGAATGTATAGAAGAATCACACTATGATTCTTAAAAAAACATGAATTTTTTTAAAGGACAGAATGGGCTATAAAATAATTTTTCATTGTTAGGATTTCAGGGAAGCATAGTTTCTTCTATGGTAGCCTGGAGCAAGGTTAAGACATCATGGAGTTAAAAATTATTAAAAGAATGAAAAGAAGCATTTGGGATATATCACCTAGAAAAATAAGATTGCAAAACAAAAAAAAATTTCAAACTTTTTTTTTGTATTGGGGATTAAGATAGAGAAGACTTTACAGCTGTATAAAAGAGTAAAATATTTTAAGTATGTGAAAGATGTTCAATATTCATATATTTTCTTGTTTAACCTTTAAAACTCTTCACAATTTGCCTCCAATCTATCTGTAAATCTAGTCTCGGTGGACATTACTCCCCTCCCACACTCTAAGGTCCTGGCAAACTAGCTTCTCTCTGTTCCTCATATATGATTC